CCTTGAGGCCAGGACATAGTGTCCTTGACCAAGCTCAGATTGTAGGAGCTCAGGGGCCCTCAGGGTCCTAAAGAGACACCTCAAAGACTGCCTGGGATGGGGACCCAAGAGCTTCAAACAGGAATGTTCCCTTTGGAACTGGCCCGTGGCGTAGTGGTTAAGTGTGCGCGCTCCATTGCTGGCGGCCCGGGCCGGATCCCAGGCGCGCACGGACGCACCGCTTGTCAGGCCCTGCTGTGGCGGTGTCCCATATAAAGGGGAGGAAGATGGGCACAGATGTCAGCCCAGGGCCAGTCTTCCTCAGCAAAAAGAGGAGGATTGGCATGGATGTTAGCTCGGGGCTGATCTTCCTCACAAAAAAAAAAAAAAAAAAGGAATGTTCCCCTTTATCCGTAATACTTCTTTTGGATTGAGTTTGGCACTTAAACAGCAACAACTTTTTTTTTTTTTGGTGTGGAAGATCAGCCCTGAGCTAACACTGCCAATCTTCTTCTTTTTTTTTTTTTTGCTGAGGAAGATTGGCCCTGAGCTGACATCGTGCCCATCTTCCTCCCCTTTATATGGGACACCGCCACAGCATGGCTTGACAAGCGGTGCATTGGTGCATGCCCGGGATCCGAACCCGCCAACCCCAGGCCGCCAAAGCAGAGCGCGCGCACTTAACTGCTTGCACCATCAGCCCGACCCCAGCAACAACTTTTAAAACTCCTCTCTTGGACTCCTGATCAGAGTCCTAGGCTGCCCTCCTCCCTGTAGTTATGGGGGAAGATGTGCTCCTTCCTCCTGAAATGTTTCTGCCACAGCCAGTCAGCTGCCAATTTACCAGCTGAGGGACTTTTGGGCAAGCCCCTTCCCTGCACTGGGTGTCATTTTCTGTACAATAGGGGTGGGAGGAGGCTGGATATTGGCTCTTCAATTTCTTTAAAGTGGGATGATTCTAGAAGGAAGACAAGAAAACCAGATAGACTCGCCCCTTCACACACACACAACACATACATACTTTCTCCCCACCTCCACATAGGAGAACAGAAGCTGGGCAAGAGGCTGTTAAAACAGGAAACTTTAATATAAATAATAGGCCATAGGGGAATACTATGCAGCAATGAAAATAAATGATTTTTGTTGATTTATAACCACATGCAACAATACTGATAAATCTCAGAGACATAATGTAAATGAAAGAAGACAGTGCATCTCATATGATTCTAGTTATCTAGGCTCTAGATTCTAGGGCATGAAAATAAGTAAAACTGTTCTACTCCATTATAAGTCAGAATACCGGGGGGCCGGCCCTGGTGGCGCAGCAGTTAAGTGTGCGTGCTCCGCTGCGGCGGCCCTGGGTTTGCCGGTTCAGATCGCGGGCGCGCACCAACACACAGCTTGTCAAGCCATGCTGTGGCGGCGTCCCATATAAAGTGGAGGAAGATGGGCATGGATGTTAGCCCAGGGCCAGTCTTCCTCAGCAAAAAGAGGAGGATTGGCAGATGTTAGCTCAAGGCCGATCTTCCTCACATACATTAAAAAAAAAAAAAAAAATACCGGTACCCTTGGGAAGGTAACTGAAAGGGAGTATAAGGGGAAGTGGGGCTTCTGGGACGCTGGTGCAAGTTACATCAACGTATCCAGTCTTAGAAGTCAGGCAGCATCACCTCCACAGCCAATAGATGGCTCAAGGAGTTACAAAGGTCAATCCAGGTTCAAGGCGGAGGAAACATCGATACCTCCTCTCAGCAGAAAGACATTAACATCGCATTGTAAGAATATATATCCAGATGGGATATACATGGGTGCAGCCATCTTTATAAAATATAATCTGCCGCATAATGCATCATCTTTGATCTTTTCTTTGTCCCCACCCATCAATATTTGCATGAAATCACCGAATCCTACTACTACTATCTGTTGATACTACTGTGCCCTGGGTTTGTCTTTTTTAGTTTGTGGGCAGATTTTTGGGACCCCTCTCCCTGGTCTAACAGGTGAATCTAGCAAGCGAACTGCATAGGCTTTAAGTCAGTTCCATACCGTACTGTGAAGCAGCTGTGCAGACCATCTTCAGCCTGTGCCAAAATGACCTTGCAACCCCCACACCTCATGACTGAAGACGCCAGCTGGACAGAGCCACAACAGGAAAAGATAAAGGGTAGCTTGCTCTCACATTTCCCAGCTGCATTTCTTAGAGATTGAGGGAATAATTCACGATCCTAGCCCTTGCTTCCCTCCATAAGTAGATAAAGATTTTATTTATTCAGTTTTTTCCCCCCAAAGCCCCAGTAGATAGTTGTATGTCATAGGTTCACATCCTTCTAGTTGCTGTACGTGGGACTCGGCCTCACGTTTCCATAAGTAGATAATGTCAGCATCTCTGAACTTTTTTGATGTATAGTCAAGAAATTCTTGTTTATGTTACCTTCAATGTATAATCTAGAGAAAAGCCCAGATGTATTCTATCCCTTGTTTTGACATATATGAAATCTAGTTGTAAGTTTTTTTTTTTTCTTTTCCTCTCCCCTGCACGTACACTGTTTGTGAAAGAGACATAAGCTGCACTTAAACTCACACCTCTCGGAGCAGTTCCATCAGAGCCCTCTGTTGAACTCTACTCCTGGGGTTCCAAGTCCTCACACTGATTATTGAATAAACTCCTTCACTAACACCACCTGGACTCTTTACTTCAGTCGACAAGTCCATCACCGTTTAGACCACCTTTACTTCATGCCACCACCATCCCACCTGGATTACTGCACAACTTCCCAACAAGACTAGTCTTTTTGCCTCCAGCCCGACCTCTTTCCAATCTATTCTCCATAGTGAAGCCAAAACAGCTAAAAAACAAACAAACAAAAAGCCCACTTATTTGCTTAAGTATTCCTGAGTACGCTTATCCTGGGTAGAGATCCCACCAGATTGCTTACAAGTGAAACTAATTGATTTATAGTTTTCTTTTTCTTTACTGACGCACAATCCACCACTCTTTACCATGATGGTTGCTTTTCTTTTTTTTTTTTTTTGGTGAGGAAGATTAGCCCTAAGCTATCATCTGTTGCCAATCTTCCTCTTTTTGCTGAGGAAGATTGGCCCTGGGCTAACAGCTGTG